CTGATTATATAGGGCTTCTGAGTCTTTCAACACCTTTGAGTTATAACTGTCAACTGTAGATAGCCAGCAGCAATGAAAAATTTTTGTCTATATTCTTATAAATTCTATCTGGTGGAAGTTCAATGAACTTTCCTGCCCCAATGTGGAAGAAATCAGTGTTGCCTTCATTTGCACATTTATTTCATTATTCCTGCTCTTATAAACATGCCTGTACTTTTTATTGTCATTTAAACTGGTTATAACATCTTAACTGTTCCCTTGTTAATAAGTTAAATAAAAATCTTCAACATGTATTCATTTTCTGTGTGATAGTCATGATTTTACTCCCCTGACCCTTTTTGTGGAAAATTATCTCTTAACATAGGAAAAGATTAATTTGCTCCAGCCAATCATCTTGACCAGTATAATACCTAGTATGTCTCATGGAAGAAGAAAACAAGTCCTGCTTCTTATAGGATAACAAGCAAACCAATAACAAACAAAAAATCCTAAATTTGTTCATTTATACCTCATTAATTTGGATTTTTTAATCTACTCCAATCTTACAAAGATTCACAATGGTACAAATGAAATCCAGGTTTAAATACTTTCAAAACTACACCTAGTGATGTAGATTTACAAATACTAATACTTATTTAAATCCTGAATGGGCCAATGGGCCTAAGGCCTTTTTTTTGACACTGGGTCTTACTCTTTTACTCAGGCTGCAGTGCAGTGGTCTCCTCATAGTGATAAGGAAAACCCCCATCTATGACTTCACATATCAGCCACCTGAGACCCCCACCCCCACCCCTCAGGAAGACTGCATCAGCATAATACTAAAACCTGGCCCATCTACTACTTGGCACATCAGCATAACACTAAACATATTACCTGTGCATCAACATAATACTAACCTATTACCTGGCACATCTACTAACCTATTCCATTCTGAGAACCCATCCTCTGACCAGCCCAACTTAATAAAAATGGGAAAAATAGGGTACACGGGGCTCAGAATTTGGTGGAAAGACCCCTCTGAGCCTGCTGGCGAATAAACTTTGATTCTCCAACTCTCAGTGTGCCGCTGGTTTGTCCTCAGGACCACCAGCTGTAACACTTACTGTAACAATAGTTCATGGCAAACTCAAACTCCTGGGCTCAAGCAATCCTCACTGGCCTCCCAAAGTGCTAGGATTATAGGCGTGAACCACTGCACCTAGATCTAAGGCCTTCTTATATAGATGTTTGTGTACTTATTTATTTTCAATGTCCAATAGCAAAAATACCTTTTGGCAAGTTGAATTTTACCTGAGTCCTGTATTCCTGGTTAACAGCCATAATTAAAGAAATCCTCCCATCTTTCCCTCTGCTTGACTTAGATAAGACTCAAGGATGCCTGACCCCTTGTTTACCTATGATCATAGCCTTTTGTTTCATTATGAATTTATGAATGATTTGCTGAATTGCTTGTCCCTCTTTATCAATTGGAACAAAATGCCTGTTAACCAGCCTTTATAGTTTCTCTCCTTCCCTCAAGTCTTTGGCCAACCCTTTGCCAGCAGTGAACAACCCCTCCTGAGAACAGGCTGGCCTCAGGGTAAAATATTCTCTACTATCAGATATATCACCCTTACATCCCACTTCCTCACACCTATTCTTTGTAGCATAGCTGACTCCTTTTGAGATGCTTCTTAGAGATCTTTTGGGCAGGGTTCTCCCCATTGCAAAAGTCCCTTTCCCCCTTTTGCGATAATCTTTTAGAATAAAGTCCCTTCTTACTAAATCCAGATTTATATTTTGACACTTAAAAAAATTCTGTATTTCAGACCCTCTCCTGTCTTAGGATTACCATCACTTTACTTTAGTGCCTTAATACAGTATTGCCAACCTAAAAGGAAGAGGGTGAGGTGCAAAATATAAAGAGTTTACTTGAGTCAATGTGAGGATAGCTACCCTGAAGACTCAGACCCATGTAACCTTAGCTATGAGATTCCACAGGCCTTTGTTACAAGCAGGCTTTTAATGGCAAAAAGGGGAGACAGGGAGTAGGCTAAAGTTGTTTGTCAGGATTTCTTATTACTTTGCAGAAATAACACTGATTAGTGATTGGCTATACATTGTTAAGATACAGGGTGGGTTATAGAGTAAGGTGTGGCACTGTTAGGTTAATTATTGTGACAACAGCCAGCAGTTTCAAGAAACAAATAAATATAGTTAAAAGGAGGGGCGGGGAAAGTAGGAGCTGATTGCAGACTCATTTTAGTTTGGGGTGGGGGCACCTGATAATTTAAAAGACCTAGCATGCCTTTTAAATTATCAGATGAAAGTTATTTTCTCAGTATGTTTTGTGATTCTAAGATTAACATTTAATATTTTTATTGTACTACCAGAAGTGTCAAAAGAGAATGAAATAAATGTAGAATAGATTAGACCATTCTACTAACTTAGGCAGTAAAAGTATTTGTTCCCCATATAATTTGAAAGATGCTAGCCCAGGGAATTATTCAGCTTGAATTTTAAATGAGCTTTTAAACATATCTCTTGCTACCCATCACCAAACCATAAGGTAGTTAAGGATTGAGGAAGATAAGCAAACTAGAGGGACATGATGCTTGCAAGCCTCTCCTAATAAGGCAAGGTCTAGGACATTATCACAGGGTTTCTACAGGAGTTAAAGCAGAACACCATCACTAACAAAACAATAACAGGGGGATCTGAGGATTAATCAGGTACTCATTTTTTCTTCCCAAATTTTTAGGGGAGGTGTTACAATCTATGTTCCAGTATGTTGATTTCCCTTAATACAGCTTTTTACTTTGTTACCAGTCTGCCAATTAGTCAGAAAAGTAGCATTAAGAGGAAATTTAACTAAGAAATTTACTTAATTTTTCGGTCAACTCATAGGTCTTTCCCTTTCATGAAAAAGAAAGTTTTCATGAAATGTTTCATGAAAAAAATGCGAATTTTTTTTGCATAGTCTTACAACTTATAAAGCATTTACCTGGATTAAATTTTACTGAAAATAATATCATCTACGCCTATTACTCTAAATCAGCAGCTTTAGTTATGGGCACACACCCCTACAAGAGTCAGGCATCTTGCATTGTGAACTTTTTGTGCCTATTATCTTCAAATACCAACTATCTATATCATGTGAATGGGCATTAATTTAAGGGCTCACAAGCCAAGATGATAGTCTCAATCCTCCAGAAGATCCAGGTCCAGTAAGAATGATAAAGAGAATTTAAAACAAAAATACAGCCCATAACATTTAAAAGATTTGGTTAAAGTGCCAGTAGTTAATAAATGCCAGGTACAGCACTAAATGCAAACATCATCTCGTGAATCTTTACAACCTTGAGATAAGTACTATCATCTCTTTACATACAGATGAAGAAACTGAAGCTTACAACCATAGTTACTAAGCCTAGCACAGTGCCTGCTATTACTCAAGCATTTGCTGAATAAATAACTTTTTATTAAAAAATCCTACTTTCACTTTACATGAAGAAGTCCTCTTAATTAGTTCTTAACAGTTTTCTCTATACTCACCTAACGCACTCCCCTCACATTTTAAAATGCTTTTGTTCAGTGTACTTTCAAGTCATTTTTGGAACAATTTAGCAAACCCCACTTGCAATTTGTCCCTATCCTTCTGGCTCTTAAAGGTCAAAGAGAAAGGGATTTCAACACTTAGAGGGTATTTCCAGACCATGAGGAGTGGGTAAAGCTCTCCTCATTCTACCTTGTTCTTGTGGCTCAAACTGCTAAACAATACTTGTATGGATATTAAATGACAGTGAAACTGAACTGTAACCATTCTGTTGAAAAACTTTCACCTCTTCCTACAAAAGAAAGTCTGGATTCTAGCACAGTTTGTTCCAAACACCACATACTCCAGGCCAAACAACACTCACTACCTACAAAGCTCTTTTACATTTTACGCCTTTAATATTATCCTCTCTTCTTGGAAAGCCTTTGGCCCTTTCTGTGCCAGGGAATGCTAACCTATCTTTCAAGATACCATCAGTGTCCCTGGTGAAGTACCCAAATACTACTATTACAAGTCCTCTTTGCTCTGTGTTTGCATAACCCTTTCATAGTGCGTTGAAACTTTTTCTCTATTACCTCCCTGGTGCTGGAAGGATAAGAGCTATAGGGTGCTATTTTCCAAATCAACCAATGTAAAAGAATAACTTCAAGGACTTCCCTTTCCGTATCACTCATCACATGCTTTTGGTTATTTGTTAGTCTTTTCCATTACGTATAAAGTTCTGTGAGGGAAAGGAATCCCTAGATCCTGTTTACAGTTATATGACTTCTCTAGCAAAAATACTAGCACTTAGTTGACCCTTAACGGCTTTTGAATGAAAACACGTTGAGAAACTACCGGAATCTCAAGCCAAGAAGGCCGAATCTCCGGAAATCAATATAACCAGGCCCCCAGGAACCTGCAGTCATTCCCACCCCCAACCCTGTAGTGGTCACACGGATTACTGCCCTTATGTCAAAATGATACGATCCACCAGATACATCCAATGAACACCTACTATGTTCGTGGTAGCTGATGGGGGGGGATATAAATATATATACATATATGAATAACTTAGCCTCCTACCTCAACTAAATAGCTAAGGACGAGAGGATTCTAACTTTAAAAATTAAAAACAAGAGAGATATAAGAGGTATACGGGGTTCAAGGCCACAATAACACTAAGTAGTAGAAGCCAAAATGATAGTTTTGAGGGCTACGGGCCTCCGGAAGGGAGGCGACAACCCGCGGAGGGGACAGAACCTGCACCAGGCTTTGACTCAAGGGGCCCTAGATGAACTGGGGTTGGGGTGGGGGTCCGCATGGCCTGAGGTGACAGGAGGCCCCAGCCAGCGGCAGGAAATCCCCTTCATGTGTGCGGGCCTCCTCTCCCATCTCTCCTCGGGGTCTTCCGTGACGCCGCCCGGGCTCCCTCCCCCTCGCCCCAGGAGCCCGTCCCTACGTCCCCTGTCCCATCCCACCTTACCATGTGCTCTCCTCCGTCCGGGCTCGAGCAGGACCCCCAGTCGACACTGGACAGACTCCGCAGCCCGCTTTCTAGCTAGTCCTGGCGCTACCACTGAGAGGACAGCGAGTGCAGGCTAGAGAGGCTCAGCGCCACCATAGAGAGAAGTCCAGGAGAAGCCTAGAGCGGAACCGAGCCCGCGGCCTCCGGCGGCGGAAAAGGCGGGTAACGTGAATTGCCGAATGATTCAAGGCGAGGCAATAGTTGCTTCAGACTGCTGACTGGTCTTTGCAGACTCGGCGGCTAGGGAATTGAGAAGGCTCAGGGGGCCATTTCTGACAAGAATGTGTTTGCAAACTACACTTGTGCGAGATACTAAACTTTTGCACCCAAATACCCCTTAACCCTGAAGGAGAGTGAGGGAGTTGAACGGGACCCTTTATTTAAGGTCTCACATTTTATTTCTTTCATTCGAAATGTATTCCATCCCTTTTGTTATACTATAATCTATAAAAATAGCTTTTAGTTAGAGTAAAATGTAGGCTCCAGGAAAATGCTTCTACATTTTTTGAGGAAAGAGTGTCTTTCTAATATCCTGTTGTCTGGTACAACGCAGGGGCTCATTAACTTTTAAAGTGAATTTTATTCATCTAGAATCATTGAGTGCTTGAAGTCTCCCAGTCTGAAGATTCTTGGCCTTTTGACCATTTTAAGGCAGAGGTAGGAGGGAAACAAAAACAATTGTTTTAACCAGCAAGTGAAAAATATGGGACAGACAAGATAAGGCCATACACCTACTGTAAGTTGCTTTGCACAGTAATTTCATACACGTACTGTAAGTTGCTTTTTTTCCACAGTGATGCTGTGTTCTTCCCACCACTTTGATACGCTCCCTGACTGGGTAGGCTTTTGATGCTCACTATGGTAACAAATCTTAGAACTAGAGAATGGGAGAAAGGCAAAAACAATAGATAATCTCCCAATTATGTCTACAGGAGGTTGCATTCCATAATTTTACTTGTGATTAGTACTGTGTTAAGTAATAATTAGACAAAAAGAATAAAATATCCCAGCTTCCAAGGAATTCACAGACTAGGGAGAGAGACAGGAGTAAACAGTTAATCACAGTGTGATGTGATAAATGTCATAATAGAAACATAGTGGATATGGACAGGATACAATGAGATGTGCTAAAGCAGGGGCATTGTGGGAGAAGATTAATGCTTGAATTGAACTGGCATATGAGAAAGTAACTTAATGCAATGGTGGCCTCTAAGTAAACTGCTAGGCAAACTATCCTAGAGGTGATGATATAGAAGGTTCACAGGCCAAATTAAGATTCTTAAATGATATAGCATATTGAATCAATTTAAATATCCAGTGAAAAGCAAGCAAAAGAGTTGTAAGCGAGTTGACACACTTAGGATAAGGTGCAAGCAAGTGGAAGGGTACCATCACCTGACTCATGTTTGATCAATGCCTATCTATCCTGTTTGCCATATGAACCTCCTCCACTGATGATGTACTTATGAGGACCAGAGATGAGGTTTACACGAAGAGCCCACAGGTGAAAAGTGCTTTGGGCCAATGGCACATGCCTGCTCTAATTAGATTGATGCAGAGAAGCATGCCTGGCCACAAACAGAGCTTACTATTTTTTTTTTTTTTTTGAGACAGAGTCTCGCTTTGTTGCCTAGGCTAGAGTGAGTGCCGTGGCGTCAGCCTAGCTCACAGCAACCTCAAACTCCTGGGCTCAAGCGATCCTCCTGCCTCAGCCTCCCGAGTAGCTGGGACTACAGGCATTTGCCACCATGCCCGGCTGATTTTTATATATATATATATTAGTTGGCCAATTAATTTCTTTCTATTTTTATGGTAGAGACGGGGTCTCGCTCAGGCTGGTTTTGAACTCCTGACCTTGAGCAATCCACCCGCCTCGGCCTCCCAGAGTGCTAGGATTACAGGCGTGAGCCACCGCGCCCGGCCAGAGCTTACTATTAATATTATAGTTAAGCTGCTGAAGGGGCTGGTTTTATTTTGCATTTCTTGGCTAGAGCACATATGAGACTACCCTAGGTGTCATTAATGGGTGGCTGATTTATGAGTGACATAGTTGTTAGCCCAGAGATGTCATAATTGTTTATAGCTTAGGTTTTTTTCATCCTTTTTTGACTACAACTGACCCTCTGTTCCATGATATTTTCTATTTAACTTCAACATGCCTATAGTTTACTAACTTACTATGCATATTTAACACAATTCTGCCTATGTTTCACCAAGTACATGCTTACTCATGTTCTATATTTAAAACATCCTAGGAGTTTTGCATTTATTTTATAAGCTACTAGCTTACTTGCTGTCTACAATTAACACTTCTTATGACTTTCATCCATCTCTAAGGAAACTGCAAAGGATTTCAGTATGGCTGGGGAGGCAAGTAGAGGACAAATAATATTCTTTTTATACCATAGTAGAGATATTGGATTTTATCCTGATGAAAACTATAAAACTGTAAGGAGTGGGGAGAATGGGGGAGAGGTCCAGTCCTGGGCAAGAGGACCAGGTGGAAACTCTTGCCCTAATGCAAATGATTAATAACGAGGGCCTCAGTCAACCAAGGCAGTGACTCTGTGGGGTGAGATATGATTCTCTCACTACCACTCTCTCCCCCTGGAACTTTGATAATATCTGGAGACATTTTGGTTGTACTAACTAGGGAGTGCTACTGGTATGTAGTGGGTAAGGACAGGGAAACTGCTAAACATCCTACAATGCACAGGACAACCCCCCATCCACTGCAAACACACAACAAAGAACTATGTGGTTCATAGTTTCAGTAGTGCCAAGATTGACAAAGCCCTAAACTAAGAGAATTAGGAAGGCACAGAGAGGATAGAAGCTAAGCAAGCAGAATTAGTAGGATTTTGTAACTGATTAGATACAGATCAGTGAAGACAGACAACTGGATTAATTCAAGGTAAAGGAATTGTCAGTCAGGTACATAAGAAGGACAAAGGACAAGAGAGTTTAGGGTCTTGTCATGGGAGTCACTAGATGGTTAGAATCATGAGAGAAGATATTATGTAGGTTTATTTAACAATAGTATTCCCAGAACCTAACCCTGGGAATATTGGTTGAGTCAGTGGAATGGGCTGGGAGTGATAAATACCTGCAAACAAATAAACAGAACAGGGAAATCTGAGTGTGAGTCTGAAGAGAACTGGAGCTCTCAAAAATCAAAATTGAAGGTAAAGAGGTAAAGTCAGTGATCAAATTGGTGGAAGAAACAGTTGTGGTCAGAGAGTAGAACTGTAGTTTAACCACTTCGGTATGAGCGTCGAATACAGTCAATAGCCACGGATGAACACACACAGCTGAGCATGGACTTTAGCCGACAGCCATGATATGAAGGCGCACAGCGGAGCGTCGACTTTAGTCTATGATTTTGAATTGACTTTTCTAATTTTTCATGTATCAAGATAAAATTGTGAACATTTAAAAATAACATAATAAAAACATATATGTATATGTTACCTATTCTGATTTGCATTACAAGTAAAGCTGCCTGTAAAGTACAACAAGCTTTCAGTGCTTTAAAGCTTTCCTCATCACACAAGAGCAAAACGGATTCGTCGTCAATGCACAGCACAAACTATCGTGCAGACTATGAGTGCCGGCTGTTGACAAGTTTTGCGACCAGTGAGCGCTGTACCAAAGTGGTTAAGATATCAGCTGGTGGAGCAGTTCTCCATGAGAAACTCACAGCTTGTCCTCAAAGGCACTTGGGAATGTGCAAAGGAAGCAAAAATCAGAAAAAATGTGAAATATTAGCATATAAGGGTTTCAAGTTTGGGATGAGATGGCATGCACTCTGAAAGGGAATATGGGAAATGAAAGAGGATGTATTCTTGGTGATTATTTTCTCCTTCTTTTTGTAAGCTCTTGTATGAAATTTTGTCATATCACAGAGAAGTACACAGTACAGAGAAGTACACAAGTCCTGAGTTTATAGTTTGATGAATTTTTATCTCCAGGTAACCACCACCCAGGTCAAGAAATTATAAGATTCCCAGAAGCCTCCTTTATGTTGCCTCGAATGACTGGCACCTGTTGCCAAAGGTAACCATCATTCTAACTTCTTTCACCCTACATTAGTTATGCCTGTTTTTGAACTCTGAATTTTAGAATTGTACCATGCATATTCTTTTGTGTTTGGTTTCTTGTTTTCAACATTATGCCTGTGAAATTTATCCATGTTGTATGTAGCAATTAGTTGTCATTGCTAAATTGTATTTCTGTTACACGAAGGTGACATTTCATTTTATCTATTTTACTGCTGATAGACAATGGGTTTATTCAATGTGAGGCTTTTACAGATAATTCTGCTATGAACATTCTGTCTTTTGGTACACATGCATTCACACTTTCAATTGAGTACATAGTGGGGAGTGGAATTGTTGGATCATAGGCAATGTCTATGTTCAGTTTGAGTAGATACTGCCAAGGAGATTTCCAAAGTGGTTGTGGTTGTGTCAATTTATATTCCTTCCAGCACTAATTTATACTCTGAAACATGCTCACCAACACTTGGAATTATCAGTTGTTATTGTTGGCTTTCATTTTAGTTATTCTGGAGGGTGCATAAAAGTGGTTGTTTTCTAAAGCTTCGATGTCCCACTTGGCATACAAAACAAAACTCTAAATGAGCAGACTCTGGAATCAGACTGCCTGATTTCAATCCTGGATCAGCCATTAGTTAGTGGGATAACCTATGGAAATTACTTAAATTCCTAAGCTTCAAATCCTCATTGGTAAAATATGGATAATAGCATCTACCTTACAGGATTGTTGTATGGAATAAATGAATGTGTATATGCATAACCATACACACACACACAAATATAAAAAATAAAGTTTAGCATAGTACCTGGCACATAGTGAACTCTCAATAACTAGTAGCTATAATTATTCTTGCTACTATTTATGGGCCTCTAAATATGTCTGGAAACACTGGAGTGATCAACTCACATATGTTCTCTCTTTTATGACATGCCATATTTCAATCTTGAAAGATGGATGTTAAACTGAGGGGAAGTGGAGTTGTTATTTGAAGAACTTGTGTCTCCTTATTCCCTGTCCCTCACCTTGTCCCTTCCTTCCTTACAACAATATTTAAAAGTCAGTTGATTTAAGAAATGTGATATACGGGATTTAACTAATGACTGGATAGAAGGACAGATTAAAACTACATTTTTCAGCAGTTCTGATCTCATTTGAAGTAAAGATTTCAGACTGTTGTGGGGGTGGCGTGGGGAAGGAAATACAGATCTTTTCACAGCTGCTACTCAAAATACTAACCATATAACCAGGAGAGAATTTGGCTCAAATTAAAATCCCATGATGGTTCTTTATTACCATCATGATCATTGTTGTATCAATTAGGGTTCATTTGGGCATCCACAGTGTGTTTGGCACTACATCAGGGAAGGAAGCTGATGATTACAGGAATGGTTTCAACCATTATGGTTATGGCTGAGAATTACCCAAATGGTATAAAGAAAAAGCAGAAATTAATCATTAAAATTTTGTAATTCAACAGCACTTGGAATCATAAAATATTAGAACTAGAAAAAGTTCCAGTGATTCTGTTACATAGCTTCTTCACTTAGAAGTCGATGAAGCTCAGTTCCATAAATGGTAATGCTGTGCAACCAATATATAAGTGACAGTTTGTAAAGATTATACAACCAGTAAGTAATGGGGAAAGTCAAGACTCATACCCAAGTCTTCTAACTCAAAATGCAATGTTCTTCCTACTTTATCAGGCTGCATCTCAATCTGTAAGGGTCATACTTTTAGAAAACCAAAAAACATAATTTTATATATTTATAATATTTTTTTGAATTGCTTTCTTGGAAAATTAGTCAAGGCATTAGATTCTACTTATTCTGTCTTTTCTATAGTAGTCATTATTAGTGATAGGGAGAGAGGGTTACTGATGGCTTTGGTGGTTATGGTTTGCATTTAGTGGAGCTTATTTAGATGAACATTATGAATAATTTTAAATACTTTTGAAAAAATTGCAAAAATGTATACATATTTTGGGGATTCTAGGAAAGAATTTCATTTGGGCCTTTGGACGGACACTTGAAGAGCAATACTGCCTATGGGCCAGCAGAGGGAGAACAGAGCATTGTTTTGCTAATTTTCACCAAGTTTCTTCTCATTCTGTTTTATATTTTGCTTATTTTCCCACATATTTAATACATTCCTTGCAAGTGGTGAGAAAATACTATCTTTTTGTGCACTTTTGGATAGGGCAGTGAATACCTCTATCATTGAATTGGAGTTTCATTTAACTTACTAGTATTCAATTGGCTATCAAATGAGCTGAATTGGAAAGTTCTTAAGCATAGTGGAAGTTTATTTATGTGTCTTTCACATATTTTTCTCTACAATATTGTGTCAATTAAGTAATTTAAAATATTATATATAATCAAATTAATTATGTAGATTTTCTCACCTCTAATTGCTTGTAAGAGAAAGTAACAATGCAATAATAAGGTGTGGAATTATCTCATTAGTCACTTGGTCTTACTATATAAGAGGATAAATGTATATTGACTCCCAAGAAAGTTTAAAATGATAAATTTTTATAACTAGAGTTTTAGAAATAAAATTCCAGTGTCAGTTGAGGTAACCGCCTATTCTTCTTTCCAAAAAGCTTGAATTTAGTTAAACTTTCATTATTGCTTTGTTTTTTATCTGTGTCCTCAGAGGTTGAAGTACAAAATTAAATATGATACACATTTGTCCTCAACGAGTTCATAAGAAATGAATACAGAAACATATCATCAAAATTTTTAATGGCTGCATTAGATTCATGAGGCAGTAAGTGTGCACAGAACACAGGCACCCAACCCAATAAAGGGAATCTTGAGAGCTTCCTGGAGGAGGATCACCTGAACTAAGTTGTGATGGAAGAGTAGAAGTGCATTCTACTCAATGTACTCCATAATCTGCCCTGTCCCCCTTCCTCTGCTTTTCTGGGTGCTTCCCTCCCCTGTCCTAATGTTTACGGTGAGAGTAGCCATTCAGTACACCCACCATTGCATTGCATCCCTGGGCCACAAATGTTTTGTCCATGGATGGGCATCTGAAACATGCTGAGCTAATCAGTGTCCCTCCCTAGAATTTCTCCACATGGTACGCAGTGAAGCTTGAGAACTGTCAACTACTTGGTTTTCTGCCATTTGATAGAGGAAAAACAATAATAACAATGTGTGTTATCTTGAGACAAGCTGTAGAGAATGCATCCTCTCAGCATCTCCCAGAGAACACATTCTATTTTTACCTACAATAGATGTGCAGCCAGTTCCCTGTCCTTCTATTTCACGAAACATCCCAGTATCTTTATAATCAATTTCTCTTTTTTCTCAAGTTGGTTTGAGTTGGCTTTCTTTCCTTTGCAGCCACAAGAATCCCAGCTGGTGTGAAAAGTTATCAAGGCAGAGAGAGGGCTAAGGACATTTCTTGGGCTGCATGAGCATAGGCATAGAGACATAAAAAAGTATGGCCTGTGTAGATAAATACAAATAATTCTATTTTATTGAAACATAAAATGAGAGAGAAAGAGTGCTAAGAGATGAGGTGGGAGATTTGTCATTTTAAGTAGTTTAACTTTATCCTGAAGGCAATGAAGAGCCAGACTGGTTTACACAGTGAGTGACATAATCAGATAGGTGGTTTAGGCAGATCACTCTAGCAGGAGTTTCTTCAAGAGTTCTCTCATCTCAGAAGAAAACAGCATTAGAGGAGCAGAGAAGTGAGACAGGGAGGTGATCAGTGCAGGCTGCATTAGTTACCAAGCCAGTTTCCTTTGAGCATGGCTGGAGCTTTACCCTACAGGGAAACCCTGGGAGCCTGTATAGAACATGTACCTCGGTTATCTCTGCTCCAGGTGAGGAAGCTGGGGTCTCCAAATGGCAGCTCTCATCAGTCATTGGTTGAGTGCTGCTTGGGTAGGGTTTTGGGGCATTAATTCCCAAGCACTTTCTAGCCTGTGCCTTGGGTGGGCAAAGCAGGTTCAGCAGCCAAGGGAAGCAGTCAGGCCAAAAAATGCAGATGCTGGCAGTTGGTAGTCAGCCCAGTGGGCACTGAAGTGTGGTCAGGGTGAGGGGATATGTGGGTGGGGACACCAACAGCATCTGCTACAGCTGTTATGGAAGTTATTTACAGGGAATAAAGTCAGGTGGGTTTTCCAAAGAGACAATGTTTGAGCTGCAGAATGAAAAAGTAGATGTTCCACAAACAGACACAGGAAGGAATAGAAACTCAGGCAGAAAAAACAGCATGTGCCCACGGCTTAGCAGTGCCCAGTGATGCAGGCATGGTGTGTGGGGATCGGTGAGTACTGAGGCTGAAACAGTTGGTAGTTTGCAGATTGTGGTCTGTAGTGGCACACAGTGAGGGCTTTAGCCTGAGTAGTTGGGAGCCCAACCAGTGTTTTCAGCAGGGGAGGAGCAGGGCCATATTTGGGGTTGGAGAGTCACTGTGATTGGGTGGGTAGAGCCTGGAGGCAGGGAGTCTGGGGAGAAGGCTGTTGCAGAGGAAGGGTGGGGAGGCAGTTTTAGTAGGGCTGGACTCACTGGATTCAGAGAGAGTGCAGGTTAGGAGTTTTGTTTGCAGATGACTAAAAAAATTGATAAATTAATAAAAAAAAAAAAGAGTTCTCTCATCACTGAGCTTATCCTGTGTTCCCTTATCCAGGATCTTGGGGGAACAGGATGGGACATAGAAAATGTATTCTCGCTAACCAGAGCAAAGCTTAAGTCATGAATTTTTACTATTTCTATTTTAATTTCTATTTAACAGTCTGTTTTCCCCTCCATTCTCAAAGTCCCACTGAAACAGGGGCCATGTCTACTTTGTTCATCATTGATTTCCAATGCCTGTCTTAGTACCTGAACATGTCGTTATTCAATAAAAATTTGTTAAGCGAGTAAATGAATGAACAAGTAAATAAATAATGATGAGGTAAAGAAGATTAAATTCAATTATATTTTAGAAGTAAATAGGACTTGATGAGTTTTATTTTTTTTTTTTTTATTTTTTTTTTTGAGACAGAGTCTCGCTTAATTGCCCAGGCTAGAGTGAGTGCCGTGGCATCAGCCTTGCTCACAGCAACCTCAAACTCCTGGGCTCAAGCAATCCTCCTGCCTCAGCCTCCCCAGTAGCTGGGACTACAGGCATGCGCCACCATGCCCGGCTAATTTTTTCTATATATATCAGATGGCCAATTAATTTCTTTCTATTTTTATAGTAGAGACGGGGTCTCACTCTTGCTCAGGGTGGTTTCGAACTCCTGACCTCGAGCGATCCGCCCGCCTCAGCCTCCCAAAGTGCTGGGATTACAGGCGTGAGCCACCGCGCCCGGCTTAGTTTTATAAAGTAGCTACGTTTATTGAACACTTTTGTGTTAAGCAGGGGATGGAGTACTTTGCATGTATCACCCTTTTAATCTTCATGACAATTGCTTGTGTGATGGGTACACATACCTCTTCCCACTTTACAGATGAGGGAGAAAGAAGCACAAACAAATTAAGTATTAGTTTAAACTGTATGAAATTGCCATCTAATAACTTGCCCAGTGTAGTAAGTATACTATGAAATGAATGTTTGTATCTCCCCAAAATTCATTTGTTGAATTCATCACCCCATGGTGATGGTAGTAGGAGCTGGGGCCTTTGAGAGGTAATTAGATCATGAGAGTAGAACTCTCATGAATAAGATTAGTGCTCTTATAAAGGGCTGAAGAGGCAAGGGTTTTTCCTTTTGCCATATGAGGATACAGTGAGAAAATATCTTCTATGAGGGAAGTGGGTACTCACCAGACACCAAGTATGCCAGCACCTTGATCTTAGCATTTCCAGTCTCCAGAACTGTGAGATATGAATATCTGTTGTTTATAAGCCACCAGTTTATGGTATTTTATTATAGCAGCCTGAATGGATTAAGACAAGGTGGTACTAAAACAGTTGAATATTCAGATGCAAAATAAATAAATAAATAAATAAATAAATAAATAAATAAATAAATAAATAAATTGTGACCTTTATGTCATACCATATACAAAAATTAATTCAAAATAAATCACATATCCAAATATAAGATCTATATTCTTTGTGATCTTGGGTTAGACAAAGACTTTTTTCAGATAAGACCCAAACAGCATGAACCATAAAAGAAAAGAAATGATAAATTGGATTTTATCTAAATGAAAAACTCTTGCTCTTCAAAAGACACTAAAAAAATAAGAGGAAAGCCAGACATTGTGGTGTGTGCTTGTAATCCCAGCAACTCAGGAGACTAAGGCAGGAGGATCCCTTGAGCCCAGGACTTCAAGACCAGCCTGGGGAACATAACAAGAGCCTGTCTCTAAAAAAATTAAAAATAACAAAAAGAGAGAAAAAAAGAATAGAAAAGCAATACATTACAATAAAATATTTGAAGATGTATCTGATAAAGAATTTGTTTCTAGAATATGTCAAGAATACTTATAATTCAATAATTATAAAACAGACAACACAATTTAAAACAAAAGGGACTGAAGATTTGAAGAGACACTTTGTCAAGGAAACTATACCAGTGGCAATGGCATATGAAAAGATGTTCAATATCATTAGTCATTAATAAAATACAAATTAAAACCACAGTAATATATCACTGTACATCTACTGTATGGCCAAAATGAAAAGGAATGGTAAGAACAAATGGAACTCTCATACATTTCTTGTGGAAATGCAAAATAGTAGAGCCACTTTGGAAATACCATTTGACAGTTTTTACAAGTTAAACATATCACTCAGAATTCTGCTCACTCCCAGGTATTTATCTGGAATAAATTTAAGGAAATACATGGTAATTTGGATTTGAATGTTCATAGAAGCTTTATTCATAATGGCTACTAAAAAAAGAACCACATTGTCCATTGAATGATGAACAGATGAATAGATAATGGTGTGTTGGTGCAATGGAATACCACTCAGCAGTTAAAAGAACCCAACTACTGATACACACGACAACACGTATGACTCTCAGAAGCATTATGCTACATTAAAGAAGCCAGATACAAAAGACTACATACCGTATGAGTCCATGCATTGAACCTTTAGAAAAGGCACAGGTATAGGGACAGAAAGCAGATCAGTGGTAGCCCAGAGCCAGAGAGGGATTGACTGCAATGCAGAATGAGGAAATTCTTGAGACGATACAAATGCTCTATATCATTATTGTGTAATATTTGAATGACTGTATATATTTGTCAAAACTTATCAATGGTACACTTTAAAATTGGTGAATATGACTGTATGTAAGTTACACTTAAAAAACAAAAAGCCCTAGCAGCTAGTTGGAGGAAGGGAGAGGAGAGAGAATACAAGCTGATCTATGCAATTACACGAGGGCAGGCAGCCCGCTACCCACCTACTTTAGCAGAAGAAGGGAGGAGAACCTTTACCTTTGACTGAAGGTTGAATCAATGTTTAATATCATGGACTTTACACGTTTACTTTCTGAACTGAGACTATGGTTTGTATCTTGAATGACCCTAGAGCCATCTATTACCTAACCTAAGAAATGAAGTCATGAAGCTTTTGAAGTTTTCTTTTCAGTGGCAAAGATCTTCCTCCTCTGAATAATTTTAAAGGACCAGTGGGAGGCAAAAACAAAGTTGGAACCCATGAATCATGCTTGTCTAATGTGCTGGTTACATTGGCAGAGGAGTATTTTAAGAAGGTAGCTAGGAGAGGAGAGATTAACTGGGAGAGAGTGAGGGAAACTATTAATAATGAGTAGAGGTATTAAGATCTTGCTAATAGGAAAAGTTGCTCATATGAGTGAACTAAAGGGATAGGGATTTGTGTCTTATTTTTTAAAATGTATATCTGTAGGATTAAAGGAAAATTTCGTATCATTTTCCCTTTAGGTTTTTATCTTTGCAATGAAACTCATCAATATATTACTATAATCAATCATTTATTCGTGCAACAAATATCAGTAAGTGTCAGTACACTGCTAATCATTTGAGTCCAGAGGTGATCAACCAAAACACAGCTCCTGCTCTCCTAGAATTTATAGTTTAGCAGGAAATGAAGGCAATTAAATACAATCATATGCTGCATAGTGATGTTTGGTCAGCAACGTACCAGATATATGATGGTGGTTCCATAAGATTATAAAATTGTATTTTTACTGTACCTTTTCTATGTTTAGTTGTATTTAGATATACAAATACTTACCATTGTATTACTGTTGCCTGCAATATAGTAACATGCTGTACAAGTTTGTAACCTAGGAGCAATAGGCTGTATCATCAGCCTAGGTGTGTAATGCGCTACACCATCTAGGCTTTCGTAAGTACCCACTATGATGCTCTTATAATGATGAAATAACTAAAGGATGCATTTTTCAGAAGTATGTCTGTCATTAAGCAATGAATGACTATATATAATTTTGTTTTTAATTATATCCCTGGAAGCTAGCTTATTAAGTACTTAATAAATATTTGTTGAATGAACTGACACATTTTATAGTGTGCGTATATGAATATCAAAACCCTTAAAGCTGTTGATACTTATTTTCTCTGTTGTTTATGCATTAATTGCAGCTTTCTCAAGAAAAATAAAATCTCTAGCAATGTTTGGCCTTGCTTCTGCCCTCTTCTGCATGATTTATGAGAGTCTAAAGATATAGAAAATATCTTATTCACCCAGAATTTCCATGGGATTGGAGAACATAGATCTGCTTTTGTGAAGTGAAATCTACATTTAATTAGAAGAATCAGACTTCCCAGGCACACTAATGAAGAAGACGTGTGGAAGCATGAACTTTTGGAAAAGTCAGAGCATAAGGGATCTTACTGAGAGGAAGAAAGGTGAAGAAGATTGCCAATCTTACAGATGGCAATGCACACTACAGTAAGATTCTCTTACCTCTGTGGCTCCACAGAACTTTAGAAAATCAATAAAGATATAGATGTGATTGATGTGATTAGAAATTTGTGTAAGTGACTGAAGCTTCTAGATCTGAAGTGGCATAGGAGCAAACTGACCTGCACAAATTCAGGAATGGAGGCAGAAAGGGGAGAAAGCATGGTGTAAAAATCATGGGGTAGTTCTGGGAGCCTGTTGGGCTGAGTCAAGGCAGAGATACTCATCTCCTGTAACCACATAGAAATTATAGATATAAAAATAACAAAAATTGTTATAGATGCCACTGGATGCAAAAAAAATACTTAGCCTTTCACACAGCACTCACAATTAGCATGTTCTCCAAGGGGACACTTCTCACCTATTTCTGCTTTACCTCTCTTCAGGATCTTGGCCCTTTAAGTCCTGGCTTCCTAAGCAGCTCTCAATGCTTTCCAATGGAGATTTTTTTTAAAAAATCCTTTTTTTTGTTAGTTTTTCTTTGTGGGAGCTGCTCTAGTTTGAATGTATGTTTCCCTCTAAAATTCATATATTGGAACTTAACCCACAAGGTGCTGGTAGTGCCCTTATGAGGTGATTAGGTCATGAGGGATCCACTCTTGTGAAAGGGATTAATGCCCTTATAAAAGGGCTGGAGAAAACTATGGAGGCCATTTTGCCTTTTGCCTTCCACCATGTGAGGACAAAGCAACAAGGTATCATCTTAGAAGCAGAGAGCAAATCTTCATCAGATGGTGAATCTGCCTGCACCTTGATCTTGGACTTTCCAGCCTCTAGAACTGTGAGAAATAAAATTCCACTAATACAAATTATCCAGTCTGTGGTATTCTGTTACAGAAGCACAAATGGACTACGATAGGAGCATCATTGGTTTGTTACAAGCTATGTTCTTAAAGCTGGAAATGCAGCCCTTCCACTGCACTTCTAGTCATGGTTAATTCTGATCCAAGCTACCAATATTGACCAGAGAATCACTTATTACCATTATTTTCTGTATAGTTATGTCTCTTTTTGTGGTATTAGTATGAAAGCTACTGTGTAAGTCCTTAATGAAATATTTGGAACATGTTAGAAAAATTTATATCATTTAGTGAACATTTTTTTCTTTTGACAAACTTCTGAGAGCTATAATAACAGGTACCATTTATCAAACATCTATCAAATGCCTTTTGTGTTAGATATATGTTGCATCTAATTATTAACAATAATTTTACAACGTATGTATTATTGCTCCATCTCTACTGATAAGAAAGCGAAGGCTCAGAATGATTAAATACCTTCTGTTTGGAGAGAATCCAGGTCTGACTGACTTTAAAGTATTCACAGCCATTTCCCACCTATTCTTGAGAATGTAGCAAAAGCTTGGGAATACTGTTCTTCGCATTCCTTCAAGCTTAGCTGCAGTCATTTGCTATAATTTAACCAGCCTTTCTAGGTGATATCCCAAAGAAATAAAAATAGAAATAGTGACAACAGGCCATACTTATTGCACTGAGAGGCTCTAAAATCATTTTAATGAGCGAAACCTACTAGTATTAGTAATAGTCTAGTGACCACCAGCATGTCTGCTTCAGGCAAAGTTTAGCTGGCTGGGCAAGGATGGGAAAATCACAAATGAGGACTCTTCTCATTTAAATAAATTAGCAATGCCGTGGCATTCATTATCTATAGTAGCTATTTTTAGGTTAGAGTACCACACAGAGCCATGCTGAAAATGCTGGGTGCAATCTTTTGTTTTACTTGCTGGCTTGGAAGAAAGTTCCATGACCCTACACTGACAAGCAGGGAGGGCCTGAAAACTACTCTTCTCCCTCCCCAGCTCCTTGCTGAAGTGTAGATTCTGAACTACCCCTCAACTTGTGACCTTTTACTCCCCAGGCTCTTTCCACAGTGCCCTTCAAATTATCCATTCTTTGTGATGTTTTATTCTTATTTGAAATATAATAGAATGATGAGAAACTGAATGATGGTTGTGGATACCCTGCAGTGCCTAAGTCAGAGCTTAGCAAAAGGATAGCTGAGGACTAATTCTAATTCACTGAGAACCACAAGGTTTGTTTTAGACTGTGATTCTGTCTAGAAACACTTAGAAACTGGCAGTTCAGAGAATAAGGCAAAACATTTTTTACCTGTTGCCACTAAGTCACCTTTCATTCCAAACTGAGTGATCATCAGATGGGCACCAAGAAATACCTTCTTTTTTTTTAGTCTCTTGATCTCTATCCTTTTATTGCCCCTGTTTTCTTCCTCACTCCCTTCCCTACCTACTGCTAGGTTCTGGTTAATTTTGCTGCTGTTGAAAACCTATTCCAGATTCCATCTATGGTTGGCTATGGTTAAACTCTGTTTTCTTAAATGGAGCATCTGTAAGGCAAACAAACTTTTGTTTTGCATCATAAGTCAGCCTTAGAGCATTCACATAGTTGCATTTTTATGGGAGAAGGCCCTTTGTGCTTCAGAGATGAGAATGGAAAGTGACAGGGTAAAGGAGACAGAGCCCTCTAAGCTCCAGGATTATTAATAAAGAGAGCAGGATGGCATGACTAATGGGAGAAGATTTTAAGAAGTGTTTTCTTTGTATGTTACAAATATGAATTGCTCTATAGCTCTAGGGCTTTAACTCATTTATTTATTCATTCCTTCAAAAATGCTTATTAATCTCACACTGTATCAGGAATTAGGTTGGACACAAGTAGGGATGTATTTGGTAAATAAAGAAGATGGAGGCTCCTGCATTGGCTAAGGCACAATCTAGTTGGGAAGACAGACAGCAAACATGTTAAAAACAAACAAATGGTGACAAGTGCAACAAAGAAATGTTCAAGGGTATAGTCATAGGGATTATGTGCAGTGCAGGTGTGTGAATGCACTAGTTAGGTATAAAAGTAGAAGTCATCAACATATATATGGCATTTAAAACTGTGGAAATCTATGAGATCAACAAGAGAAAGTGGATATAGAGATAAGAAAAGAGATTGCTAGAATAAAAGCCCTTGGAGAATTTTTTTTTTAAATTTTTTAGTCTAAATGATGCTAAATCTGGTTCCATCTGCTAAGATTGCTTGAAAGTTCATTATCAGGTTTTTATTTCACAGCCTCCTTTTTCTTTCTTGGTTTTTACAAGAACCCTGGGGACATACAAGGTCCCTAAAGGCCAACACAACAGTCTATTCTAGGTTAATCATTTCCGGTGTGTAATTCTTTCCACTGTACCAAATTTAACCAGTTGGACCCTCACTTAGACTTCCAGGAGCGTAGCACTTCTTACCCAATCATAGCTTTCTGTAGCCCTTTCACTTCACAGGCAGTTTAGGCAGGATCGGTCCTCACACCCCTGGGAAATTTGCAGTCCTAGAGAATCAACAACCATCCACCTGCTAGATAACACTCTATAAAGCCTTACTTCTCTCATTTCCAAAGCTTTGGTTCTCTAAGTGGACCTAGACCTTTGATGCACAAAGACCTATTTAGGAGTGTCTTCAATGATAGTGGATTCCTGCTTGGCAACTCCTCCTTCTGGCTCTGATACACAATATAATTGTTTATTCTTTTTTTTAGGATTTTGTAAAGAGTCCAGGGCAAGGCCTGACCACCTCCCTGGGTGGTGAAGATGGATGATATCTTTTCTTTTGTTCCTATGAATATAGAGTAGCCATAAACAAAACAAAATTATTATTTCTTCCTTATGAATGTACAATAAAATCTATTATTAGCATATTATGGATTATTCTGTCAAAGTGGCAGAATATATTTTAAATAAGTTTAACTTTAAAATACATGAAGCACTTTTAGGGGGAATGGAAACTGGTATAGCATTTCTGAAAATTAAGCTAATAATATGACTGTACCCTATGAACCAGCAATCCCATGTCTGGGATCACAGGAAAATTTTCCCACATATGCATCTATATGGATATTCATCACTGTTGGGATTCAGAGGTAACTTAGGTGGTCATCACTAGGAATTTGGATAAGGAAAATCTAGGGACATGTACTACAGAAATTTATGCTACAGAGGATGCAGCATTAGAAGCAACCAGGTAGTTCCATGTTTAGCCATATGCATAGGTCTGAAAATACTGTGATAAATGGAAAAAGAAGTACATGAATTAAAAATACAAACATAAAACAAATTTTATAGATGTGTAAATTAAATCAATACATAAATTAAAAATTTTAAAAAGTGGTTACCTACTGGGATGGCAATGGGAGATGTGTCCATCTAGGATGAAGGGAGAAAATAAGTAATAAAATAGGAGAGGGACCCTGCAAAGACTGAGGTGACAATCTTCTGTGAACTAGGCAGTATGTAATACTTATTCCTTTCGTACCCCAGGGAACAGATTAACTTCAGACCTCAAAAATAGTAGCCCAAATTCTCAGAAGAGACGGAATTACATTTTCTAATCTTGATCCATATAAGGAAATACTGTGGCTATGTTCCTTAGATAAGAGCTATATTACTTCTCTGGGTTCGCACTTAAGTTTATTGGCAAGCCTTGGATACTGGGAAAGTATAGTAGAATGGTTTGTTTAGAGATATGTATTAGCAGGTTGTTTTAAAAATGAACTTTATTGACATAAGATTTACATGCAATAAATTCCACCCATTTTTAAATTCAATGAACATGAACAAATGTGTCCAATCTTGTAATAACCTCCTCGGCTGGGATATAGAACATCTCTTTCACCCCCAGACAATTCCCTTGAGGCTTTGAGATTCCCAGGCAATCTCCCACACCAATTTGCAGAACGGACAATTATCACTATAGATTAGTTTTGCCTGTCTTAGAATGTCATATAAATGAAATTATGCAGTGTGCTTTTTGTGTCTGCCTTCCTATGCTTAGTACTGTTTTTGAGATTTATACATGTTGTATGTATCAGTAGTTCATACATTTTTACTGTTCAGTAGTATGCCATTGTATGGAAATACCATCATTTGTTAACCCATTCAACCTATTAATTTACTTTTAGATTGTTTATAGCTTTTGACTACTATAAATAAATTTTAAAAATATTTGTGTGTAAGTCTTCATGCTTAACATGCTTATCAATTTATTTTTGTGTTTGCTGTTAGGTAGTGGAAGTTATTATTGTTATTGTTATTTGCATATAGATATTCATTTTTTCCAGCACCATTTGTTGAAAAGATTATCACATATTTGTGATTGCATTACATTGGCATTTTTGTTTAAAATAATTGTGTTTTAAAAATATGCACATGTATGTGTGGTTTTATTTCTGTATTCTCTTTTTTGTTTTACTTATCTCTATGTAGCATACTATCCTTAGTAATGTGGCTTTGGAAAGTCTT